GTGTCTTCCAGACACTTGCTGCAGCTTCGAGGGGTTATATTGTGCATATCCAAGTTTGTAGTCAGTTTAAACACAGAGGAGGACTTGTTACACGTGTGTGAGGAAAAGAAAGGTGATGCCGGGGTTCGGCTTTATGATACCCCCAGACGATGAGACTGACCACTGGGAGAGCCATGAACAGGCGTGCTCGCATTGGTGTATACAGGTTTATGACGACTGACTTACCTAATACGGATTCCCATCATCCTGTTCCAGGCTCTGCGTCAAATCGGAGCCGCCCCTCCCGTAAAGACGCACGTGGACTGTATGACCTCCCAGAAACTCATCCGTCTGCCAGGTAAGAGGTCGGGGGGGTTGGACTGCTGTGCATGGCGGGGTCAATGAAACGCTATGTACGTGTAGGAGCCAAGGGATGACCCTTTAGTTGCTGCTCCAGAGGCTGCCTGTGGTGTCTGGCAGGGGGTGCCAGGGTCACAAAACTGGCTGAACAGGATAAGAACTCCTTTGCCAGGTAAAGCAGACGGCGTGTGTGTGGGCTTCACCTCTTGTCTGGTTTTTAAAATTGAAACAATATATAATGTAGAACCTTCCAGATGGACTCCAGCGGGCGCTGGGCGGGTGGTTTCCTTATTGTAACACATCGGTGAACATTTCAGACCGAGCGGTAACCTTCTCCTGGTTCTTCCCGGTTGGTGATCTTTGTGAATTCCGTGTTCCGGTCTTCCCTTCCTCTCAGGTCTGATCGACGTTCACGTACATCTCCGAGAACCCGGCGCCACCCACAAGGAAGACTTCTCCTCTGGCACAGCGGCGGCTCTGGCGGGAGGTGTCACTATGGTGTGCGCCATGCCCAACACCAGCCCGGCCATCACCGATGCCGCCACCTTTTCCCTGGCACAGAAGGTGAGGGAAGCTTCTAGGTACTGTAGTGCCACCAACCGGCTCCCCTCCCCCCTTCTGATTTTTATACCGTCTTCTCATCTCAGCTAGCAGAGGCCGGCGCCCGATGTGACTTCGCCCTCTTCCTTGGCGCCTGTTCAGAGAATGCCGGGTCCCTCTCCTCCATCGCCAGCTCAGCGGCTGGACTGAAGATGTATCTCAACGACACGTACTCGCAGCTCAAGATGGACAACGTCTCTCTGTGGATGGAGGTGAGTCTGCACTGCGGTCTACTCTCTACGTTTATCAGTAGTGTCAGTCTGCAGGTCTCGCTTGTCCCTGGAGGGCCTCTGGGTTCTCGGGTCTGGAGGGCCTCTGGGTTCTCGGGTCTGGAGGGCCTCTGGGTTTTCGGGTCTGGGGGCTTTCTCCCAC